GCTCTGATTGGTCAAAATTTGACAGGTGAGTTCATGCGGAAAATTTATGCAGCATCTTGAAAGTTGTTTACTTTGACAGCTGAAGCTGACAGAGTTTTGTGTCAACTTGTGATGTTTTTAACTGCCTTTTTAGACCGGATGTACAAAATGAAATACAGCTTCTATCAAGAGTCTTCTGTTATTCATGGCTGGTTTGTTTATTGGGTTTTTGGTTGAGAAATGCGTCGCTTGTCAAAATTCGGTAATCCGATTTCGGATGGCATCGTTTTTGTTTTTTACCTTGCTTAATGCGTAAGAGGGTTTAAAAGTCTCAACCAACTGTGGCCTTCCTTGATAGCTTTCAGGAACTGAATCTCGAATGGTAAGCCTGAGTAATTATTGTATTTGATGTTTGTTTTTGTTATATCTAATTTCATGAAGTCGAGCACAGTTTATGCGGCAAGTTTATGCACGTTTGTAAGATTTGAGTCAATGATCTGACATAGCGTCAGGTTTGATATAAGCTTACAGGACTTTAAAAGGCCTTCACAATATCTTTTCTCACCGCAAATAGAAAGAAAACGATCCGAAGAATATTTAGTTATAAATTTGGCTGTAGAAAGAAAACTTTGAGCGATTTTCTTGCTTCGAGGAGTTCACCTTCGAAAACAGTAAACACCGCACCGGGAAGCCGGCTTAAGCTTTACGCTTAAAGACTCAGGATTTTTAGAGACACTTTAATACTTGTCTTCGTGAATGAAAATTGTTGCCTCTGTAAATGTTTCACCGAATTATATTTCTTTTATTGATTGTTAGTAGTCTCTCTTGCAATTTTAATCGCTTGTACGTGCCGGTTGTTTTCATCGTTCATGAACATCGCTTGCAGGAGTACTAAAAAATGTCGCGCGTATCAAACGCTTTATAAGATTACACATCGTTATAACTGAAACCATTAAATAACAAAAAAAAATAATAATAAATTCGTTATTATGTTGAAGGGTAACTCTATTAAAGTTCATTCAAACTCTCGACCACACTGACAGCTCGCACTAGAAATGAGAACCGGCTGGCCGTATGGGTGATTTTGGAATTTTTTTGAACGGTTTCGCTAAAAGCCCACGATTGATCGTCCTGAATATTGACTAAGTGTAATTTGTCTTGAAAAATTGTGAAATGCCGCATTCTGTCCGAGGTTCGTATGATAAATAGAATTGTTTCACCTCAGATGTGATGTATATTAAAAGAGTATGAAAGGTTGGTTTACACACCCCTAGATTTGTTGGCAAGAATTTGTAAAGTAAACCTGTCGAACGCAAAAAAAATTCGGCCTGATTTGTTTTCCAAGAATTTGTTTTTGAGGCCTAATCTACTGTGATCAAGAGCCATTATGGCTCTTGAATGTGATCGAACATGTTTGCTATTTTTTGGGTGTACATATAAGGCTATCAACTCGATGTAAGATGTTTCACTCTAAAATAACTTCGCCTTTCCCTCAAAAGTCACATGAATGTGCCCTTAAGTTAACCGATTTGTGGATTACAAGTTTATTGTTTGATTTAAATTATAAATTTATTAATGGGAGCTTCGCTTTTAGCCCTGGCTAAATCTATATATTAACACTATAGAAAAACTAAGGTAATGTTGACTGGTACACATCAGAGACTTGTCCCAGTTGATAGTTTCACAGTCAGGCTTTCAAGAGTCTATCAGTTTAAGAATCTTGGCGTCATGTAGGATACATGCCTCTCGTGCAATATTAACGACCATATAGACTACATCGGGCGCAAAAAATCGGCAAAGCTCGGCATGCTTCGTAAAGCGCGCAAGGTCATTCCACGTGAGTCATGTTTAACACTTTTTATTATTCATTCAAATATTTCTCTGTTTCTAACTGGCTAAAAGCACACGCATAATTCACCATAACCAGCTACCGAATTTGGAAGAACTTTGCGATTAATCAACCGATGGCGTCAAAAGTGCAGCACAGTTACAGGTTAATGCACCGTTGACCGAGAAGACCTGGGGACAAGCTTGGGTTTTTTTGGTTGTGAAGACAAAAATTGCGGAACAGTTTGTGGAGCATTTTATTCGTTTCACGACGAAGTATTGTCTAAAAACATAACAAAAAGACAACTCGACGGATAACATCTGCTATTTGGAGTATATTTGCAGACCTGAACCGCCCTTTATCTTCTCAACATCCACTATCGAGGTGAACTTAACATGGACGAACTTAAGCATGTTTTAACTTGTCTTGTTTGTTTGTTTGTTTGCTTGTTTTTTTAACTAGGAATTATTTTGAATGAATAATAAAGCAAGTAATGAATTTGGCTTTCGTAGGATATGAAGAATTAAGCAGATTTCGGAGGTTGTTATCCACCATAACACCCTCCTCGATCCGCCTAATATTCTACGAAAGCCGAATTCATTAATTGCTAAATAACGCTATGATACTTCCAATATTCTACTATTGCGCTGTCGTGTGGGACTCCTGCAATGAGTGAACAACAGTACTTGGATAAGCTGCATAGGCGTGCCGCCAGTATAATTGAAGGCTACACAGTTTCACAAACGCAGATGTCTCGCACCTTCGGTTGGCCTACACTCCAGTCCCGCCGAGACTATCTAAAGTGCATGTTATTGTTTAAGAGCCTTCATGGCCTGGCTCCGGCATATTTACTTAATGCATTTAACCACGCGCGCGACATCCATTCATATAACATGCGCCATAGACATTTGCTCCGTCTGCCACTAGCCAGGACAACTCAGTACCAGGGCTCCTTTAGGTTCAGCGCTAGGGGAGCCAAGATCTGGAACACGCTTCCTCTGGCCCTGAGGAGTACGCATGATTTAAATAAGTTTAGGTTTGGCCCAAAAAGGCACTTTTAGATCCAAGCAAAATTGAGCCTCCGATCCTTTTGCTATACCTAGTTCCATTTTTTATCTGTTATTGTCTTTTGTGCTGTTTATTCTTTTCATCAGGGCCCCATTCAAACCAGCCTTCCTGAGCCGGGCAATCTGGATAAATATCGTTTAAAATAAAGTAAAACTCCCTTGTACCCGGTATTCAAAAATCCAGCTATATTAATTACACATAAATCACAAAAAAACAACTCTAAATTCGTTAAAGATCAGTGAAATGTCTCTCACGATTCTCGAATGCATAGATGTTTTTTGTTGGCAAACTCATTTGGTAAAAAAAAGGCACTTTTCTAGGTGTAATCATCCTCATATTCTTTGCATGAGCTCTAAGTCGTTACAGAGTGATGATAGGCTACTATGTGACATTGAAATATCCGGCAAAACCCAGAACTATTGCCTGAAAAGTGTTTGCAACTTTAAAGTGAGTCGATCCTCCGTAATTTTGCTTTCCATAACAACATAATTGGACTTTAGGCACTTATTCAATTAAGATTTAACATATTATCAAGTAGCGTAGCTGTCGTATTTGAGGTTATTCTTGTTGACCGTGAAATCAATGGGGAAAACGATCTGGAGAACATTATGCCTTAAAATTCTCCTGTTTTGTCATGAGACTGATGCTTCATAGTCTATATTCCAATCGGCCATAATATAACACTTTTCATTTTTTTTAGACAGTCGAATGATACACAGAAGTAAATCATGATCGTTTAGGAATTCTTGTAAACTTTGTTTAGGCGGTCTATAAATAACACCTTCAATTATTAAGTTTCTTTCTTTTGGGTCTATTAACTTCTGCATATACCCTCTAGTCTCCCTGCCCCTGTACTCTTATATATTCCTATGGTTTTTCTAACTTTCGCCTCCACTTCCTTTTATGACTCTTCTGATAAACTTATATCTTTAATAAA